AGTCAGCGGCGCCCCGGGGACAGAACCAGCCACAGGTATCCATACAGCGAGTGAGAACACACACCACCTCACTCATTGCATTGCTCAATACCCCTATGCGCTGCTACAGGCGATGTGTCCTGAAAAACGTCGTATTTTCCTGGACGTATTTGTGCTGAAACTTGCAGCAAGTAGGAGTCAATAACTCCCAGAAAAAGCTGCCATCTAACCCCCCTGCCCACAGACCCTTCCCCACAGACTTCGACTTCAGCCCTTGTTAGCAACAAAGCTAATTTCCTTAAGTTCTGAATCTCCCTTCCAACAGGAGTGCCTTTTTCCAAGTTGCAGAGCTCCACTCAAGCTCCCTACATTTTGTGTGATTTCTCAAAAAAGAACGTACTTTTACTTAAGTTGACAGAACGCTTGCCAAGTCCGGAGGGAGGAAGGGATTTCATACCAAGATAGCTACAGAGGTTAAATGGAAAACAAATCAAAAGGCAGTCTTGCAGAACAGAGACTACATTCAAACATTTCTTGGCTGCCTAACATTTAAAAAAAAAAAAAACAGTCTTGAGATAACTGGGATAGCAAAAGCAAGGAGGAAAGAAAACAGCAGAGAAACGTAGGAGTCGGAGAGGATAGAATTTCTGATGACTCTGGCATCAACAATGTCTCAGACAGCAAAACCCTATTTGCTTCTGGAGTGCTGTGGTATGAGGACACGGGGCTCCCACTCCTCCCATCAGACTTGCAGGGAACTGTAACTTTTGTAGGCTTTAAACAGGACAGATTGGACATGCAGTGATGCTGTACCACTCAAATCATGGACGCAGACGTTTTAGTACAAAACCACTTTTAGCTACGTGACTTTCCGCCTCTAAGAAATGGGAAAAGCAATATCAGAATGGAGATAACAGAACTAGCGGCTATTTCACTGAACAAACCCAAGGCAGAATTAACCAGGAAGAGAGCCGTGCAAAGCAGACCACAGGCAGAGATACAGAAGGTATCAGAAAAGGGCAGTGGTGGTACAAAAGTGCTGGCTGTCAGCTGTGCTTTGATCTAAGAGCCAAACCTGTCAGGGTTTGTTCACTTCCACTTCTCTGAGCAAAGTCCCAGAAAACTGCAAGCTCATCTCACCTAGGCTCACCCCACGCACAGCCCAGGAACACGCAGTGAGGAGTGCAGACTGAAAAGGGGGAGGGATTCCTGGCCAGATTCTGCACACCCCCCCCCTTTTTTTTTTAACCATAAAACATTTGCAGTGATTTGGGACTACATCTCTGTGGGGTGGGAGTGAACCTACCCCAAACCCATAGATATCAGGGCCTCTGGCACTTCCTCTTAGACTACAAGGTCGAAATAAATAACATTCCTGCCATGCCCTATGGTCCGGCCACTGGGTTTATCATAGCTTCAGAGTGACGTACCTTATCTCCTGTAGCAATAAAGATTATCAGGTCCTGAACTCCATCACTATCCACATCTGGAATCACTGACACCGGAGTCAGCACAGTATAATTAGTTCCAAAGTCACTGGATTGTCTCCACTGAACCTCTCCTAGAAGACAGAGTTATTGGGAAACATTCACAAAAACTCACTTTATGCTGAAAGGCGGCAGCAGCCAGCCATTTACAGACCATCAGCACCACACACCAGTTGCTTTTATGTTCATCATGGGGTACTTCATTGCATTTCTGCATTTCAAACGAGTCCCAGTATCCACAACTTCAACTTGCATTGGAAAGTAATACTAGCTGCCTGCACAAATGCACCCTAACGTCCCGGGCACAAAGAGCAGCTTGCTTTTCTCCTGCCTTAGGTCAACAAGCATCCCAGCATGTTCATGGCACGGAGAATCCTTTTTTTGTGATCTAAAACCTTGCTGCTGTGTACTTCCATCTGCGCAGACAGTTTAAGACCGCAAAGCAGCTGAGTTCTGCCCACAGCGTTGCAGCTACTCCCGACAAAACCTTTTTTTTGCTGCAACTTGCCTCCTGCAGACGATCCACGCTGATGCGACCGGCCGCAACTCCGTTCACATCCCACCTCTCCCTTGTTTGAAGAACACACACACACAGAGCATGTTCAAACTGCTTTGTACACAGAGGTAGTAAAGCTTTGGTTTTTTAAAAAAATGGTGTGCATCTATGGGGTGGGTTTCTCTTCAACGGCTCCAGGCCAGTTGAGTGGCTCTACTCCGCTTGCTCTGCCCAGGGCTGCTGGTCACCTTCCAGTCACTGCCCAGCGGAATTTGCAGTGGAATTTGGTGTGTGTGTGGGGGTGACCGGTGGGAATTTTTCTTTTTAAGGAAGACTTAAATGACTAACTAGGTGCTCAAAGGGAAAATGCTTACCCTCCCCTTCAAACAGCATCACACACAGCAATTATAATTTCAGGAATGCAAAGTAATCACCTGTTCTTTGTCAGGAAGGCAGTTGTACTGAAGGCCAAGGAATTACTACCTGACACTGTCTGCAATAATTTAAGGCAGGCTGTATTTCCAGTAGGATTCCTCCAAAGCTTTCACTGAAACACTGAAAAAAAATACTCGGATTTGTTGCTATGACAACAGACGTGAAGCAGAAGAGTGCCCCTAGGAAATCATGGGAAGGCAAAGAATTTTACCCCCGAAGAAAACAAGCAGGCAAAGGAAGGAAAGCACTTAAGTTTTAAATAACTATATGCTAGCTTCAGCACAGTCCAAAGCTAGAACAGTAAGACCAGCTGATGAAATTCGCATTTCAATGCATAAGGCTCTATTCTTTGCTGGTTAGACGGTGGGTATAGTTTTGGAGGAAGCACCTTACTCTCCTAAAAGAGCAGTCTGACTTAACCGAAACAGGTGACTGTGAGATGGATTCAACACAAAGGACTTGAGAAGCTTTCACGCTCTAACACAACCCCCAAAGAGCACGAACTTTGAATCCAGTCCCATCCAGCTCCATCAACGGGAGATGGGACTACTCTGTCTGACATCTAGAGTGCTATGGTGCCTCCTCAGAGTCCGAGGTCACAGCAGAAGCACGGCATAAAGAGCACGAACTTTGAATCCAGTCCCATCCTGCTCCATCAACGGGAGATGGGACTATTCTGTCTGACATCTAGAGTGCTATGGTGCTTCCTCAGAGCCCGAGGTCACAGCAGAAGCACGGCAGCAGAAGCCAAAATGGAAATTAGACAAGTGCCTAGACAGCAAATCTAACCTGCGTGAAGGGTTTTTTAGTCCAGAGCTCCAGAGTGAATAATAAAATTAGGACTTAGATAACAGAGTTCAGCTCTCACTTCAAGCAGCCGCAGAGGAACCAAAGCAGGATAGCTTGCTTCAGGCTGGATGAGGTCCAGATGCGCAGCCAAAGACTGCGCTCTCCCAGTCTGCAGCTCACAAGCTGAGCTAAAGGCAGGTCTTTTTTACCGAGCAGTTAGACCCCTCTCCCATGCCCCTGCCCATTTGTTTAGTAAACACTCCTGGCATCCACCATACAGTGGATGTGAAGAAGCATCCCATTTGGGGTTTTTTTGAACCTATCACTTGATAAAAGAACCATGGAGCAATGAAGAATTGCGACAGGAAATCATCGCTCCCTGTTCTTCTACTTATTACTCATAATTTTACAGACTTTTGTCCCTGTCACACATTCTCCAAGTTGGAGTTCTGGTTTGTTTGGTGATTTCTTGATTTCTTGCAGAGAAGCAATTTCATACACTTGGTCATTGCAGTCCTCTTTCTGCCATATGCCTTAGGAGACCAGCGAGGACCAGAACTGCTCACGGGGCTCACGATGTAGGCTGCCAGAGGATAAGGTGAAGAGAGAAGGTGTGACACTACACTTACTCCTGTCCTCTTCCTCAGGACCCTGCTCCTGCCCCTGGCAGAGGTGGAACACCCAGCTACGCAGCCTTTTACTTTGACCTGGAACAGCTAATCTTAAGCTCCTGTGTCCCAGTTTGCTTGTAAGATAAACATGCAGGAATGTTAGATGTCCCACACAAACAGAAGCATGCAATCCTACACTTTCTTTCTTGTTTGCTCAGGTTATTTATTCTGGCAATGAAGAAAGCAAGGCTTAACACAACTCAGAGGGAGAGACAAGCACTAACTTTATCAGCGTTTAAAGATCAAACCCACATCAGACACTTTCAGATGATAATCTGCCTACCTCCCCTTCAATCTTCCTACAGGCAGAGGCTAGGCAGCCCGACAGCCCTGGAATCTCATCAATCCTCCACGACGATGAATCATTAACAGCTAAAGATTGTTCTGACTACTGTTTTTAGCACAATGTGATGTAAGTCAGACTTTGCCACTTTAAATACATTTAGCCTATTTAAATACATATTATTCTGATCTGCCCTCCTAACCCCCAGTAAAAGCCAACTACACTAAGAAACCCCCTTTAACCTACTTAATTGCAAAAAGGTATCAAATACGTCAACTTCTGCGTTATTCACTTCTCTGTCTGAAGCAATTTTTCATCTCTTGCTTTGAATTTATCTGTGGAATGTTTTCTTATCGTACTGTTGCTGTGACCTGTGGTTCCTTCTCTCCATGCTCGTGCTGTTTCTTTATGGCTGCCTTTAGTTACATGCCTTTGGCTCAGCAGTCACATTTCTACATTTTGACCTAAAAGCAACTACTTCATTAATAGTCTATAAATAACCTGTGCTAAAGCCTATTGATGAGGGAAACAGTGCTAAGATATCTCGGTACAGAAGCTTTCCAGTTCTGTGTGTGTCTACACTTCCATCTATATTGGAAATAAAAAGCTACACTAGATTTTCCTCAGATTCCTTAGAGCTATACCTCTTGCTATTTCTCTCTCACAATTTTTAGAAAATAGAGAGGGATTCAATATCAGATACAGCGGATGGGATCCTAGGCATGTTTCCAAGGGAGAACATGCATTGTTTAAAACCTTTGAAATGGGAAAAATGGATATATTTTTTTTTCCATTTCCCCAAAATGGAAACCTATTTCAGGCTTCATCAGCAAGGAAGGTTCATGGTGGAATAGATGGTCACTGCCCTGTTTCTAGGGAAGTACAGACACTCTTTACCCTCACTCTGCATAGGGGAAGATGATGACTAATTTCTCCATCTAGAGGTTCAGAAATGAAGACGACTTTCCAGAGGAACCAGGCAAAATCCTGGACTACTGAAACTGTGAGTACTTCCCCTAAGTGCTCTCCTTGATGACTTTAAGATCATAAATCCCTAAAACTCCCACTCCTCTTGCCGCTGCAGGCACTCCTAGCCCTCACACACAAACAACAGAGAAACACTGCAGGTTTGTGTCCCACCCCTGAGAGTATAAAGTAACATTCAGAGCTAGTGACTGCTTCTCCTATTTCAAAAGCTGTTGAAAAGTTGTTCTTATAATACAGTGGCTGGCACAAACCACCACAACAGAGTCCAGCCTTTGGAACAGAGACGCCGAGAGAACAGGCGCTTCTCAACAGCCCGGCGAATGGCCCTGGCAAGGTTTTCAAGATAATAAATACCCTGTGCCCATTGTTCATGTACCAGCAAGTCATACCACGCTGACAAACCCAGCCTCCGGGGTCTGAAGGTCAGCAGGGGAGAGAAGGAAGCAGCACCGATCCCTGTATGGCAGCAGCACCGATCCCTGTATGGCAGCAGCACTCTGCTCGTCACTCACCTGTCTGCAGGTCGACTGCTGTAAGAGACACCGGCTTCCCCACGACCAAGCAACCCGGGGTCTCAGCCCCCCCGAGCTGCTTGATGCCACACTCCATCCACTCAATCTCCTTGGCAGCAGGCGTCTCCCAGAGCGCTCGGCCGTTCGTGCCAGACACGGCAGCCACGAAGGCACACGGAGGAGGCAGATCTGAGGAGAAGAGCTGTCAGATGGAGCGCTACCTACACCTGCCTTTGCTGCTCCGCGCCACCCAAGAGCTGCGACTCACCCAGTTCCTCTCCCCACCCAGCTAACCTGTTTTCTTCTCCCAGACCCACAGCAGCCTCACTAATTAGAACTAAAAGAGAAATAACAGCCCTTTTACCACAAGGTTTTCTGTTTCTGAATCAGCTACCTTCATCCAAACAGGATCTGTTGAAGCTGCTGCTGCCGTTGCTAGCTTTGAAAGCGAAGACGACATCTTGCACTTTGTCTTCGTTCACATCTTCTATAGCGAGAAACTGGTAGGCCACTGTGAAAGAGATCACAAGTCAGGCACTGGTAAGGATTGCCTCAACCAACAGCAGAACTAGCTGGAGCAAAACACAAATTCCTAGAGACCTACTCACTGCTTCCATCTCTAACAGTGTAACATCAGGACAAATTGATGTTTCTTTTAAAAAAAGCCATCTACATGAGTACCATGGACTGGAAGTTAGTGCCAAAGGATTTTTTTAAATTTGCTATCCCCCAGAGGATTTGTCTTTTTTTAAAGCCAAGCAACCAGAATTTGAACTATGTTGAACAAAGAACAACTCTGGTCTTGGTGTGGGGTTGCTATTCCCAAAATATATTAAAAAAACAAACAAACCCCATGAAACCTAGCCCCAGATATTCCATCTTTCTCACTCTCGGCTAAAAACAGCCTTCTTCAGCTCAGAGCAGCAGAACTTGGGATTTCTGCATTAACACACAAAGCTCAGTCCCCGGTGCTGAGCACCAGCTCTGCGTTTAGAGCATAGCTAGCATGCGCCCACTGCACACAAGAATAAAGAAAAGCTTTCAGAGAAGCGAATGCTGAGCCACAAGGGAGCAGTACCCAGGCTAAAGAGCCAACCAAAGCAACTATAAATTTGTGCGATTTATGAAAAAAAACCCAAAACCCAACAAAACCACCAAGAAGCGATTCCTCTTCTCCCCTTCTTGGGAGCCATGGAGAAAAGTTAGAAAGTCATACTGCTGGAGAGAGAATGCCTAACTGTCCCCAAACCTCAGCTCAAACTTCAAGGGAACATTTTACAGCCCAGCAAAACCCAACAAAACCACCAAGAAGCGATTCCTCTTCTCCCCTTCTTGGGAGCCATGGAGAAAAGTTAGAAAGTCATACTGCTGGAGAGAGAGAATGCCTAACTGTCCCCAGACCTCAGCTCAAACTTCAAGGGAACATTTTACAGCCCAGACTTAAACAAAGATGTATTCCCAAATACCCTTCCTCATTTTTTTCCTTCCAAATGCGGCTAGCCTGCTACCTTGTTAGCGCTTCAGAGCAGCATCTAATTTCTCCATGAGATCCTGTAAACACCTCCTGGAAGGCCACTCCAATTATGACGGGCCACTGCTTATCCAGGTCAGGTATTCAGAGCTCTCACTCCCAAAGGCAGCATCCCTGCAGGCCCGGCTCCAGATCGCGCTTAGGTAAAGGTCCACAATTCAAATTCGTGGCACATAAAGGAAAAGGACTGTTAGTAAGTGTTTATTCTGGTACAGCAAGCTCACCTGCATTGTCATAGTTTCGGAACCATGTTCTTTCTGAAACTGGCCTCTCTGGGCATGGGATGATGAATGAGAAAGCAAACACAATTATGAGACACAGAAATAATGAGATGAAGAAGGCGGCAGTGCGCCACCGGGACAGCCGAGACAGTCGTGATGACTGCTTGCTGATAATTCTTCTCTCCACAGAGTTTTCCTGGTTCTCTTGAGCTTTTACGTCCTCAGTCTTCAGTGGGTGGATCTCAGCTTCCGAGTCTTTGTTATCCATCACAGCTCATTCATCAGTATTCAGACACTCTTCTCCCCCTTCACCTGCAACAACGGAAAGAGCAGTTAAAATAGAATATATCCAAAAAAACAACAAAAATATTCTGTTACTACCTGATATTCATGCTGGAAACATTTAACAGGAGGTGAGCAAATCAGTGTATTGTCACAGAGCCGGATACAAAGCGCCGTAGGTACCGGGGGTCTCTAACGCGGAGCAACAGGGAGAGACTGTGGGATGCAGGAATAGCACTATTTCTTCTTCTTCAGAGGAAATCAGCTCTGCTAGACCCAGACAAAGAAGGCTACAGCCTCTACGCTGAATGGACTGACTGGTCTCTAAGTCTCCCTCGCAAAAAAACACACCAAAAGCTTCTATTTGCTGCAAAGGCTTCTTACCACCTCCCGTGTATGTCAGTCTGACTCCTGGCTGGAGAGGTGAAAGGAAACACTCATGACCTTTACATCCCAACATAAGGCTGTTCCCTGCTGTAATGAGCACTTGAGCTTCCCCAGGAGAGCAAGAGAGAAACAAACACCAGCCTATTCTGTACAGGAACAGACCAAAGCTATTCAACACCTTCTCAGATGAGAAACCACTTGGTAAGTTTAGCAACCCAGCCCTGCAGAAGGCAAGAGACTCATTACCTCCCTCCCCAGAGGAAAAAGAAGGCACGAGCTAAGACTAAAATCAGGCAAATTTGACTTTATCAGAATGGAAGAAGAGCTAACAACGGCTATTTTAGTTTTTCCTGCTATAAATCATAATCTCGAGCTACAGTAACAGAGGGGTTCTATGCTAATTTGTTATTGGGGGGGGAAGAAAAAGTCCTAGTCGGTTACAGAAGCCTGTAACTCATTACCCACAACAACAATAAAAATCAACTTTATATATATGTTTCTCTGATAGTGTTGCTTTAAAAAATAGCAGAAGGGAAGAAATAAAGAATAACACATTCCAATAGCCTTGGAAAAAGCTGCACGACAGTGTCATAAAAAGTTATATCAGAGCAAATAAACATGACAATCAAGCCAATTTTCCATGACCGTGCCCCAGCAGTCACGTGCCTGGATTGTCCGCTGGAACAATTTACTTCCCCAGCAGAAAATAACTTAAACTCAGCACTGACACACAGAGCAGAAAGCTTGGGCTTTCAATTCCACCAACGACAGGGCTTGTTACATCTCAGTTCCATGTCCAAGTTCATTTACAGGTTCAAAGAAACACCAGCTGAGCGTCACCCTTGGGAGCCCCGGCTCCTTCAGGCAGCTGCGGCTCAACCAGAGGTCTCACCTCCCCGGGCTTGTCCCTGTCCCATCGCAGGAAAGAGCTGCGGAGGCTCTTCTGGGTACAAATCACCGCGGGGACAGACCTACGGCGAGGCAGGGGTTGAGCGGGACAACTGGCACGCTGCTGGCGATCCCCGAGCTAACGCCAGCGCCTGCTGGAGTTACGAAGCAGTTACTCCAACCCAAGCACTCTGGCATTTCTTCTACAACAGCACATCGAGTACAAGATCTCGCTCCAGACAATTTAATTCAAGCTGCACAATACCATGCAAATCCAATTGAATCAATAACGTAGAAGTCATATCTTATTCCAAAGATCTCACTCCAAAAGACCTCATCCGCCCTTCCCATCAGTCTACCCGCAACACCAGACACACCTCCACGAGGATGACTGTTTCCAGACCAACCGCAGGTACCTGACAAGGGTTGAAAGACTTCAGATGGCAAGGGGGGAAAAAGAAGAGCCGTGCATTCAGTCCTTCCCCAACCTGGTCATCGTGCTGGCGAGCCGAGCACCGCTCTGTCGCTGGAGCTGGCCGAGCACCCGACCTCCGGCAGGTTCAAGGTACAAGGCTCCAGGCACGGGCCGAGCAAATGATTCACCGGAGAGGAGCTGCTGCCACCATCGCGATGGGGGATGGCGGCAGGAATGGGTTATGCGGCCTCCCTTGACACGAGGCAGATGGCTCGTCTATCTCCGGTGTGCTCGGCTCCAGCGGCAGGCAGAGGTGCATCTCGTCAAACGCTGTGGTAGCCAGCGTCCGCAGCACGGGCTGCGACAGGGCTCTAGCACAACCCCGCCGGCACCTCCAGCGGAGCCCCGCACAGCTCCCTGCGCAGAGCCGGGAAACCTCCAGGGCACAGCCGAGCGCTTCCAGCACCTACCAGGCTTCCCAAGAAGAACCAAAACCAGGCTTCCCCCCTCTTAGACCAAAAGGGCTACCATCTCAACGCTGTACAGAAGGCGTATTTTTATGACTCACTATAAATCACACCACTGTCATCTAGACCGGGATGAGAACAATAAAAAAAAGTGGTAATTATCCTGACAGCCCCAGCAATTCCCCTTCTTTTGCAGCAATGACCCTAGGAGCCACCAATTACAAAGAGCCCTCAACGCCTTTACAGCAATTCTTTCTCTTTTCTTTCAGGGTTTGAATAATGCCCTTTGCACCCCTGCCAGAGCAGAGGCAGTGCCAGAACAACGACCACAAAGGTCAATGGCGAAGACTCAAACAATGCAGGAAATCCCATCGCCCGCAGTTGCCAAAGTACATGCTGGCAGCATGTGAAACGGCCTGAGCTCTGAACAACAAAGAAATCTGGTAATCACTTTAATTGAAGACAAGCAAAAAATGATAGCGTGCATTTCAGATGATTTTGCTGTCCTCTAGCAGCTAGCTTTTTGTCTTCTGCTGGTAGAGGACACAAAATAATTCACTGGAAGATTTAACACATCCGGGCACCTTGCAAGGAAATACGCAGGAAGAGGATTGTGTGCTGCTGCATTATTAACACACGCTGCATGCACGAGATCTCGTAGCTGGCACTGGCTCTCTGCTTGGGGACAGGAAGCCTCACCGTGAGAAAACATGGGAGAAAGACTTTGTAGAAAAGGAAATAATTATAATTGACATGTGACAGATCTGAACCGAGCCCACACAGTGCAGGGAGTGCTGCAGTACATCCAGGATCTGGATCTCACACGACTTCATTTGCCGGCATGCGCAATTCCATCACTCCTTAAGCTTTAAAGGCTACTTACCCCCAAGCGAGCAGATGAGCTAGGAGCAGTTCCTGATCCAAGCCAAGGAGGAACGGATAACCTTTCCTGTCCCACAGCAACAACCTCGGCTTTACTCACCTTCGTGGGACGCTGACTGTCCTCTTCTCCCGAAGCTACAGCGCAGATTTACAGATCTGATCTGAATCAAACCAGAGAAACTTGTGCAGCGAGCGGTTAGCACCAAGCCACAGCTAAATCCAAGAGACAAACTATCATTACCGGTCTGCTAGAACTGCCTGACAAGCACAGAGAACAGCATACAGTCAGGTGTAAGAAGGCTGGTGACAGAAACCTTTAACGTATCAGTGCGATGGAAGGTTTAACTCATTTTCTACCCATAAAATACCAAACCATAGCACTTGGAGTCTCACCAGGCACCAGTTCTTCCTGGAAAGTTTCTAGCAATATATCATAACTTAGATTTGGTGTTCAACGAGTTTCTACCTTTCACAGAATGCTGAACTCAGATTCTGACTGGCCATTTTAGGAACCCAAATACAGCATTTGGGTGTTGTGGTTCTGGGTTTGTTTTAAACATCTCGCAGGTTTTCCTTCCTGTCAGCCAGAAATTGCTGAAGCCCCAAACCGCAATCAATAATGACAAAACAGCTTCTGCGTTTTGCTCTAAGATGTAAGGTTCCCTTCACGGCAGTCTCCCACGAGCAGACTGTTCAGTTCCGATCCCGTGTACGGCACGGCACTGCAGCGAACCCGCCAGGCAGTCACCTGCTGCAACATCAAGACATTAATGGGTCATCTTTTCCCCTTTTCTGCAGTCCAACTTACATCACGGTCCGGCCATGAGAAAACAGCATGTAAGATATCCCCCAAACGAGGAGATTTTCCCTTCCAAATCCACTCAGACTGCACTGCGTACACAAGCTTCCAGTTTTGCTGGATCATCTGCAGCTCATAACTCTTTCTCGATATAAAGTCGCAGCCAGGGGCTGGCAGGGAGAACTGCCCGGAGGAGACCTTCACCTTCTGACGCCGGGGTGCCGCTGCTCCTGCTCACGGCCTTTGTAAGGACAGGGTTTGTAACCCAGACCACACCAAAGACAACGCGGGCACCCGGCTCAGGGAAACCCTTGCATTCTGCTGCTACAGCTGTCCTTTCCCCTCCCCTCGCTCTGGCTATTTTACCTCTGTTAACAGAGGTCTCTTCAAAACACCAGGTACGTCTTAAATCACACTTAACCCTCCGGTGCAGACACAACACGTGCCGCAGAGCATTCACAGCAAGTGAATTAGAAACTCCAGAGCACAAGCAAACGCCATCGCAGGAGGTGATACATCTGTCATTTGCAGGAGAAAAGTCTTCTTTTTTCCAGGGCAGTTTTCACTACACTCAGGGTTCAAGCAGAGAAAATCGATCTGTTTAACAGAGAGAAAAACACAACCCAGTGCTTCTTCCAAGAGAGCGACGGGAGGAACAAAACTCTCTAAGACGAAAAACAGCATTAAAGCTGCGTGAAACCGATTACAGGTTAGGCCAGTAATAACCACTGAGCAGCAGAAACACGTGCCATTTATTATCCGAGTCCTTACAGTGTCGCCGGATCCAAGCCACCCGCCCTCACCGACTGCTGCAGATCCCTGGCGTCAACCCCAAGAGCAGTAGTTAACGAGTTGTTTGAATCTCTCGGGTCAGAGACATCCCCACCTCATCCACAGGGCTCCTCTGCTTGCATCAGAAGCACAGCAACTTCTCTGCACCGCCAGACATTTAATGTGACAGGGACTTGGGAAAGATCTTGGTTTAGAAGAGACTGTGGTCATTTCATGTAGATTTATTAAAAAGACAAAGTCAGCTATCTCCAAGAAAAACCTCTTTTTTTCCCTCCCCAGAAATGGAATTTCTATTCTTCTCCTCTTTTACACACATACAGAGAGGAAAGTTCATTCACAGGCCACTCCACCCACAGAGCCAACACCCTGCGGAGCCTTT